ATGGTATCTATCCTGATAAAGGTATTCTATTGGAATTTCTTACCATAACATTCAATATAGAAAATCTTGAGTTACTCATAAAAATTGCTGGAATAATTTTTCTATATAAATTACTGCACAACAATGCTTTGGAGGTTTTATACTTATAAATTTCTGTGTGCCTCATTTTAGAACTTATAGTACAAAAACTTTTTACTGCCGACTGGCCAGAACCAATTTGTACCTCAATTTGCAATAATTTCAATTCAATTTCAAATTTGTGTGATATCAACTTCGATTCTCTAGAATATATTGTTGAAACTCATCTCAGTTTTTCATGAAGAATGTTCAATTTATGGTATAGTTCTATTATATGGGTGTTTACTCCATTTTTTTTCCATTATATTTTTTGTTCTTCATATTCGTAAATTGTAACTGTAGTTATGAGCACCTATATTACTTTTTTAACATATTAGTTAACCATACCTTGACCAATTTGTTCCATACCAACATGATATTCCTAGTTACTGCACAGGAAATAGTAACACCTTACCTGTACCCTGCACCAACTATTCCAGAACAATGAATTCTCTAATCCACAAAGGTTTTCTAGAGTATAACAAACTTCCAATCAAGTTAAAGTAATGTTATACTTTATCTAACTTCAAACATGAGTCAATTAACTTTCTTAAAATGAATAACAATATTTGATTATATACAAGTGCAGAAATTAATTTTTACAAATGTTAGTATTATCAACGTGAACATGTAAAAATCCAAATTTGTATTTGAAATAAAGGTATAAGTATTCGTAGATTATGAGATTTGTCACCTGATCCATGTTGAACAGATGCACCGCAAGCTGCATGAGCCTAACCTCAGGTCTCAAATTCAAAGTATTTTTTGTGTGAATAACAAGTAACATCTTATTTTTGTGACTTTGAAATTAGAGTAATTAGACAGGCAAAAAAAAGTTCTGTTTAGGCGATTAATGTGTTGAGAATGTTGAATATGAAAAAAATTTGATTTCAACTAATAACAAGAGAAGTAATTAATATCTTTCTTGATTTTCAGGTACATGCTGAAATTATTTAGAGACTATGTTTTCCACCAAGTGACAGATGAGGGAAGCCCTTGGCTAGATATGGCACATATTGTTCAGTGCCTCAATAAATTAGACGTAGGCGTTCCAGAGAAAATCAGCTTGGTTTCTCGTGACGAACAAAGCGTATTAGTAGTCTCTTATGCAGAACTGAAGCACTGCCTCGAACAATCATTCTCTGAGCTCGCTAGTAGTTCTGGAATCCACCATGACCTAACAGGTGTTGGCGGAAGGGTTGACGATAAGCTGTAATGTGTCTGTGTTACTTACATGTACCGAGTTGTGATGTGAACAACTGACGAAAATGGTTTAACAATAGTGATTGTTTACCAAAAATGTTGTTTTCAATAATATTTGAAAATGCCCTTGAAGTGAAAGGTTTTTTATTTGATAGTTTTTTTATCACAAAAAATATTATTGAAAACATTTTTCCATTTTAAATTACGGAATAGATATTTTTTGGATAAGTTATATTTTTCTTTAAAAAAATGTATTAATGCAATTCATTTTAAAGTTATACTAAATAACTTACAAATGCACTTACAAATTGCTATAATAATAAAGTATTTGAATCAACAAAATATTCACTGGTAGACTATTAATTTCACATGGAACTAGAGTTTTCATGAAATTTCATGTTTTTTGCAATAGGTTCAAGTATTCGGTAAATACAACAACCAAAACCTCGACAGGTAGAATTGGAACCTCTGGCGTAAAATTAGTCTATGTAGTAATCCCAGATAGTAACCCGGTAAAATTAGAGAATGTAAGCGATAATCATTAACATATATGACACGATAATAAGTACCAAAAAAGAAGTGGCAGAAACATTCGGAGAGTATTTCTCAACAATAATTGACGAGAAATTCAGGACCCATTTCCCAGGGAAAAATTCAGAGGGCTGTACCACTATGAAAAATGTTAAAGCTACCATGTTTTTTGTGCCAGTCACTACGAATGACGTAAAAAAGTTATATACTTTAGACAATGAGCAAAGCACATGACATGATGAGGTTTCCACAAGAATAATCAAAGTATATGTAGACAAATTATCTGAAGATATGACATATTTTAAATCTCTGTATTTCATTTGGATAATATCCTGACTTGCTTAAAATTGCGGTCCTTGTTCCTATACTTGAAAATGCTTACAGTAAAAATATTAGACAACTATATTAAAAAAAAAATATGGCAGAATAAATTATTACTTGGCAACATTCTATCTAATGCAATGTAAGCATTANCAACTTTGTACAGGAAGTACAATGATTTAATGGATAAAAGAAAACAATGTGGAAGGTATATTCTTCGATTTGAGTAGAGCCTTCGACACCTTGACTATTAACTTTGTATCAGATAAGCAATTTAATATTGGTATCCAAGGAAGCACATGAGTTTATAGTGAAGAAAAGAGAATTGAAACTGTTTTTACCACTTTTATTTGTAACTATCGTTACTGCAGTTGTACATTAAACTAACACTGGTTGATTACATTAGCCCTTATACAGCACCCCTGTAGGTAATGATAGAGGTACTTGACTTGATTGAGTACCTGAATTTACAATGCGGATGTGCTAATTTGAAAACTGGTGAGTAAACTAAATCAATTTGATCATTTAACAGGTTGCACCCGCAATGTTTATGCTTGTGATTCTAAATAATTGAGTTTGCAACCCTTCCTTGCAAAATTTCCGTATCAATTAGATTCGGAAACTTGTGGTTGCATCAATTTATTGAGTTTATAGTATATTTCCTTACAAATAGATATTTCCAGGTGAAGCAAAATGATATAATGAACGATAAATTTTTTTGTAATAACTGGGACACCTGAAGGCAGTGTTCTCGGTCCACTAATTTTTTTATTATATGTGAATGATCTACCTAATAATATGGTGTGATATACCAGTACGCAGACGACACTTCCATTATTTTATCAAGTAAAACAGCGGAAGAAATGCATAGTCTTTTTAACTCAACCCTACACGAATTTGATGACTATTGCTACAGGAACAGACTTATAGTTAACCTGAAAATATTTGTCTGTATGGAATTTGCAAATTCATCTCAAAGCCTACATGATTTCAATTTCCGTAATGAATCTTTGGTATTGACAAGGTCAACAAAATTCTTGAAAACAATAATTGACTCACATTTCACTTGGGAAGAACATATAGAATTCACCTCCAGAAAATCGATTCAATCGTATCATCTCATTAAATTCATTATTTTGCCAAGATTCACTTCTTTATTTAAAATATCATTGTCGTTTGGGGTCTAGCAACTGAAGTGAGCAGAATCTTCATAAAACAGAAATCATTATAAAGGCTGATTTTCAATTTAGATTACAAAACGTCATGTAGAGACTTTTCGTCAAAATAAAATACTGTTGCCTCTATGTTCATTCTAAAAACATTGACATATGTCCATGAAAAAAGAAGACAACTAGAGTCGAGATCGGAAGTCCATAATTATCATACTAGGAATAACCATATGCTCATCACGTAAAGTATAAAAAGTCTCCTACGTTTGCTCGTATCCGTCTCATTAATATACTGCCAAGCGATATGAAGACACTTTCACCCCAAGTCTTTGTGTTTCTAGCAAAAAAATGTTTTTATACTGAAGATGAATTCAAACTTGAAGTTGATGTTAGCTCACTTTCATTGTGATGTATACACTATAAAATATTGTTTATTTATCTATTCCATTCACTTTACTTATATTTTAATGCCTATGTAATCGTTTGCAATGTATATATTTATCTATTCCATTCATTTCACTTATATTTTAATGCCTATGTAATTGTTTGCAATGAATGTCACCTTCTTCAAATTGATTTATCTTATACATACTATACCTGAGATATATATGACCTGTCCCATCTACATAATGTAGCACAAAGATCTAATAAACCTATCTATCTATGAAGGAGTGAAATACTTCAATAGAAGATGGAGAAACTCATCTTGTATTCATAAATTGATCACCAGTAAATAGTCTTAGCTTGCTTTTAAACAAACAGTTCCATTTCATGTCTGCTTTTTTGGATTGTATATTAAAAATTGTAGCTCTACTTGAAGGAGTACCACTGTTAGTGTCAAGGAATTGGGTTGCTGTATTTTATTTGTCTACCAAATCGGGCTTGCCCCATCAATGAATGACACCTGTCAAGAAGAAATGAACTCTTCTTTTAATATTGATTAAACAACAAAATTGAATATTTTACATCCATCCCTCATAAAATTCCTTACTTTCAATTAACAAATCGTATGCTTTTATAATTGCCAGAAGAAAATATTACATAGTGTGCTTTTACAGTATGCTTTTCATTCAAAGTTAAAAATGCATTAGTTTTTTAAGGCAGATTTCCACCAAAGGGATTAGCTTATGACTAATTTCGCTTTCGAAAACAGAAACAAAAAATCTTGTTCAAGATTCGAAAACAAATTCGAAACTAGAGTTCCACCAAACAGACAAAAATTACTTTGAGTCGCGTAATTCGTTGTGAAATGTTTTCTATCGTTTCCACTGCACGAACAGTTTTCATTGTTAGACAATGTTTTTATAATGGCCGCGGTTTTTTATAATCAAATCTTTCGAGCGAAAGGAGTGAAATTCAAAAAAATCAGGATACTGGATGAGAGCATTGTTAACAAGATTAATAAAAAAGTCTATAATAACATTGACGGTATCAACAATTTTGAAAAGCATTTTGCACAAACTATCTTAGGTTTTGTTACTACTCTATTTCCAAAATACGCTACTAGTTTTGCAAATTTAAAACATTCCATATCTTCAATAACAACAAAATCAACAATGGTTCACACTTTATTTAGATCAGTCTGTATGTAAAAAAAATAAATCAAAGTAGGGTAAGAGGATCTAACAGACAGATTTCATATTACAAAATATTCATAAAGTCAATCTTATTACACTTTACCGACTTAACCAGAGTGAATAAAAAAATTTAAAGGTTGATTAAATAAAACTCAACATCAGAACTGATATTCTTTTTATTTGAGTTTTATTGATAGGCATAGTGAATCTAAACATCTCTCATGAAAATTGACTGTCATCCTCAATTGCGATCATCAAGAGGACATTTCAAGGCCAATGTTGATAATCATCAAATGAATCAGAAGTTCAATTGACCTCTGGTAACCTACAGGTACTTAATAGTATGGAAACAATTACGGAATAAATGTCTAGCTAACAGCTGAGATATTTATTAATTATGATAACATTAAACATAATCATATGTTAGGCACTATACAAATAGAACATTTATTTTTCCGAAATCTAACACATTCAATTTCAAGTCATTTCTAAATGGGAAAAACAATTTCAAAACAGTAATAAACAAATATAAATGTATATATAAGATCAGTTGGGAAATGATGTAAGGTACATAACAATGTTTCAATGAGGCAAGTTTACAAAATCAAGAATAGAATGAAGATAAATTCTTGCATACCGTTTTTCGGCTTTCTATTTTGTAACACGGTTTCTAAGATATTTTAATTTATCAGGTAGCTTGATTTGATATAGTGTCAGGAAGTACAAAGGTATGTGACATGAGTGTATTCAGTGTATGAGACAGTAAACTAAACGATCATGAACTCCTTGAAAAGTTCACATAAACGACTTCCACTGCCATCTTATAGTCTAGTTCACAAGTGCTTTGTCGATCTTTTCTCTCCGCCTACGAATAATATAAACGAGGTGTCATTCGATTTGGATAGCGTGTAGATGATTTTTGAACAAATTCAAGTGCCGCTTGCAAAAATTGCAAAAGTTATAAGCAATCAACTAAAAAAAAGGTTTGATTTTTTTGAAAATATCTCAAAAACTATTGGACATTTTTCAAATTTGAAAAAAAAATCAAAAATATTTGTCCTATAACGGGTACTCTGGCATGCGCAAGACACGCCAACTTTAGACCTTCAAAAAAAAATTATTTCAACTTATTAAATATCAAAACTAAGAATTAAAAAATCAGTCACCTACAGGATAAATCAATGAACAATCAATCATCCGCGGTCAAAAAATGTTATTGCGATTTTCCAGTTAATAATGCATTAGTAAATTAACAAATTTTTCTACTTAAACAGAAACATTGCAAGTGCGATAACTGTTAAATTACAAATCTGAGATTTTTTCTTTTTACTTAACTGGAAAATCACGATAAAAATTTTGACGTTATTCCGAGAAAAAAGTTTGACCTGACAGGCACTTGGAAATAGATACAGTAATATTTGTGACAAATATCACTGTGATTTAAATATTACGAACTGCCTTAGTCCATAAAATAAACTGGTAGCTGAATTGAGCTCTGTTTGTTTCTTATTAAAGCAGTTAAGAAATACAGTTAGCTACGATATTTTAAAAATGGTATATTTCGCCCATGTACAGAGTGCTTTATCATACGGTCTTATCTTTTGGGGATCATCAAGGTATGCAAATGATGCATTCATTATACAAAAAAAATACTAAGAAG